AAACAAAAAATCCGCATCACCAAATGTGAATGAGAGTATTTTGACATGAATTTACTTGAAAAGCAAGACGAAGCAGAGCAGAGGTTATCGCGATCATGCATTTTTGCAAATTCAGTACAAAAACGTGAAGCCGAATCTCTAGTTGTATGCTGTCCAGACCCATCCTTCAATTTGTAAGCTTAACGGTCCGCAGAAGTTAAAAAAAATTAGAGAGAAAAATTCGAATATTTTGAACTTTATGCATTAAATTTATTTAGATAAACCGAATTTGGCATGCCATAATTCAAAATTCAGTGGATACAAAATCCGATTTTAAATGGTTCATTTCGCATAATGCGACAGACTATAATTATAAAACCTTCACCTAAACTTATAAAGGAAGTATGTAAGACAAGGCCGCTAAGTTCGCAAAACCGAACAACTGTGAGACAGGCCTATGCAGAAAGCACGGTTTCGCCATAAAGTACATCTGATAACTTATAAAAAGAAATAGAAAAGAAAACAGAAGCGGTATGATTCTCGAACTTTCGGCGTGAAGCAATGATTGTGCACAAAAGGGGTACAAAAAAAGAAAACTAAAGGTCGAGTTATCAAGAGGTAGCAGTTAATGACCGCGCAGAAAAACAGCAAGTTATGAAAGCGAGCACTGCTTATTGTATGTCGAAACTTTCGAAAATTCTTCTTTCAACATTTCAAACTAACCGCTCGTTTCCAGCTTTAAAAAAGATTGGCGCCTGGCACCATGTCACAAAATGTTAAACGAGTTAATCCACTGACGTTGATCAGCCGGTGTTTCATCATAAAACAGCTTTGATTTCGTCAGCGCATCTGCAGCCTTGTCACAATGAGAGTGACCGAAGCTGCATCATCTGATGGTCAGCATACTGGCAACCCGTCATTCGTTTCCTTCTTCCTGGCAAAACTGCTAGATATGTCTTGGGCCCTTCTCCGCTTGCACTTAGGCACGAAAACGCGCTTTTTCACCTGCAGCTTCATAAGAAGATTTGCAGTTTGGGAGGGTAGGGTGGGCTGGGGAGTTTGGGAGGGCAGGGTGGGCTGGGGGTTTGGGAGGGCAGGGTGGGCTGGGGGGTTTGGGAAGGCAGGGTGGGCTGGGGGTTTGGGAGGGAGCGGCCGGTTGAGGGTTGGGAGGAAATTTGGGAGATTGGGGAGGCGGATGAGGGGATTGTGAAAAATTAGGGGAGGGTTGCATGAGGTTAGGGGACGGGTGAGGAGAGGCTAGGGGCCTTAAGTTAGGCTAATTGAGGCTGCACACTATCACAAAATGAGCACTAGGATTTTTGGCAGCCTACCTGCCTTGATTGTGGAGCCACGTTAAATTCACGTGTTCGTGCGTGAGGAGGAACTTTGGATCATATATAGGCAAGGGACATTTTCGTAAACCTTTATCCTTCTACCTTGTCTGGTTCTGAGTTATCAATTTCGCGCCAAAACTTTCACGCGTCCGTATGCGAAACCTAGGCATATGCGAAGGCTGGATTTAATTTTACAGGGTCGCATGCTTTCAGCCCGCTAGATTTCGTAACTCCTTGAGTCATTAATTTTGGCGCCAAAACTTTCACGTAACCTGAGTTCAAGCTTGCGGGATCACATGCAAGTAGGAGAATCCTTTTCAATTTAATCCTGTCATTAATTCTGGTACAAGACACATTTAAAAACTAAATTGTTGAAATTCATGAAGAACGGATTTTTTCCGCCGTATTTTTGCGTATTATAGGTTAACCATCACAGTACAACAACAACAACAAGCAATATGCTACGCCTTAATCTAGGAGTAGCAACGTCAGCTCAGTGCACATCGTTGAACTGGTGACTTTTTCAGGAGGCAAAATAAATGTCAATCGCACCACGCGATGCAGCACTAGTCAAAGCAAATGGAAAATATTACCAACAACAGAACTGGAAGATTAGAAATTATAAAATTAAAATCCACGTATAAAAGTATCTCCGAAGCTGATGATGGAACAGCTTGTTGACTTGTAGCTGATGATGGAACAGATCCTCAAAAAACATTTAGAGAGGGAAAGAACTACTGAAAAGCCAACTGCTCCTGAAAACAGTGCAACATTTTTAAACAGGAAACATCTCATTCCTCAACAAAAGGTAAGAGAAACGAAGAATCAGGCGACCAACACGAGCAGAGTTATGCATGGAAGACGAGGGCCAGGCCACTTGGCATCCGCTAGATTCGGCTGAACGAGGAAAGAACAACACGGAAAACATATGGCACACAGCAAATACTAACAACATTTCCATCTTCAATACCCTGCGGACATGCATTTTTTTTTCGTTGTGCAAAAATTGTTCAAATACTTCGAAACATTCAGAAAATATTTGTTGAGCAAGTCGCAGCGCTCCTCACCCTTCCCCGTATTTACTTACTTCAACAGTTCACGCCACATCCGAACGAAATACTTGTTGCAATTGGATGTATAATGGAAGAGGCATCGATTACTCATAAATAGTCAACCATTAACAAAACTACCGGAAACTACTGAAGTGGACCAAAAAGGAATTTTTCCGATTGTATACGATCCAAGGTTTCAAATTCAGCTTTCACAATAAGCTTACACTTCACATAAAAGGTGAAATTTTTAAGTGGGAAATTTCGTAGCTTAGAAACCAGACAGCAGATCGACTATCCTTGCACATATCGACTATTTTTGCACACACCAAAGTGTAAAGCAGTGTAAATTCTTAGCATGAAAATGTGCGCTGGATGGAACTGTGCAAAAGACATGATAGCATCGGGTGTCCTGTTGCAATCTGTTCATTGTTAATTTACCATTCTTTATTATGGTGTGTTGTTTCTTGCTCTTTACTTTTGTCTCCAGTTCCTGCCTTTGAACTCCTGATAAGTATCCTCGTTCCCACCCTCTGTTTTGCTTTCAAGCTCTGACACTTAAAAGCACTGTAGCCCCAGCAAATCCCTCCCCAGCCCGGTCCTCTGCCTCAAAATTCTGCGACCTAAAACCAAATCAGAATCACACCACCCCACCTCTCCCTCCTACCAGCCCCAAACCATTTTACCCAGCACTCCGGGAAACATTACCCGGCGCTCGGGGAAGCGTTACCCAGCACCAGGGGAAGCGTTACCCATGACCCACCACGGCTATCTCATTAATCCACAAACGAATGCGTTACTATAACTCGGCTTGGCTCGGCCGCGCTCCAGAGACGCTCTCACTTCTCTGCTAATGCTATCTTGGGCATTGCATAGCGTTGCTTCTTGACACGGTGCCAACGGGCGTAGGGTAGCGTTCCCCGAGCGCTTGATAGTTGGGTAATATGGTTGGGGGTGATGGGTAGTGTGTGGGGAAGATGGCTTGAGCCGCGGGGTCTGCGTTCGGGGAGTCCTTAGAAAATCAACCAGCATAGGACTGAGGGCCTGGAACGGGGAGAAAGCTAGGGCAGGGAGGGCAGCTTCGGAAGGTCAGGCAAAG